CTCGTTAATCAATAGATGGTTACGGTTTCCTAACCATGGACATTGGATGTCGTTGATAATGGGATCACATCATTAGGAGAATGATGTGATGGACAAGACCCAATCCTAAGCCTAGCACAAGATCATGTAGTTCGTATGCTAAAGCTTTTCTAATGTCAAGTATCATTTCCTTAGACCATGAGATTGTGCAACTCCCGGATACCGTAGGAGTGCTTTGGGTGTGCCAAACGTCATAACATAACTGGGTGGCTATAAAGGTACACTACAAGTATCTCTGAAAGTGTCTGTTGGGTTGGCACGAATCGAGATTGGGATTTTGTCACTCCGTGTAAACGGAGAGGTATCTCTGGGCCCACTCGGTAGGACATCATCATAATGTGCACAATGTGATCAAGGAGTTGATCACGGGATGATGTGTTACGGAACGAGTAAAGAGACTTGCCGGTAACGAGATTGAACAAGGTATCGGTATACCGACGATTGAATCTCGGGCAAGTACCATACCGCTAGACAAAGGGAATTGTATACAGGATTGATTGAGTCCTTGACATCGTGGTTCATTTGATGAGATCATCGTGGAACATGTGGGAGCCAACATGGGTATCCAGATCCCCCTGTTGGTTATTGACCGGAGAACGTCTCGGTCATGTCTGCATGTCTCCCGAACCCGTAGGGTCTACACACTTAAGGTTCGATGACGCTAGGGTTATAAAGGAAGCTTGTATGTGGTTACCGAATGTTGTTCGGAGTCCCGGATGAGATCCCGGACGTCACGAGGAGTTCTGGAATGGTCCGGAGGTAAAGATTTATATATAGGAAGTCCTGTTTCGGCCATCGGGACAAGTTTCGGGGTCATCGGTATTGTACCGGGACCACCGGAAGGGTCCCGGGGGCCCACCGGGTGGGGCCACCTGCCCCGGGGGGCCACATGGGCTGTAGGGGGTGCGCCTTGGCCTACATGGGCCCAGGGCACCAGCCCCTAGAGGCCCATGCGCCAAGATAAAGGAAAAAGGGGAGAGTCCTAAAGGGGGAAGGCACCTCCGAGGTGCCTTGGGGAGGATGGACTCCTCCCCCCTCCTTAGCCGCACCCCTTTCTTGGAGTAGGGGGCAAGGCTGCGCCTCCCCCCTCTCCCCTGCCCCTATATATAGTGGAGGGGAGGGAGGGCATCCATACCTGAGCCCTTGGCGCCTCCCTCCCTCCCGTGACACCTCCTCCTCTCCCGTAGGTGCTTGGCGAAGCCCTGCAGGATTGCCACGCTCCTCCATCACCACCACGCCGTTGTGCTGCTGCTGGATGGAGTCTTCCTCAACCTCTCCCTCTCTCCTTGCTGGATCAAGGCGTGGGAGACATCATCGAGCTGTACGTGTGTTGAACGCGGAGGTGCCGTCCGTTCGGCACTAGGATCATCGGTGATCTGAATCACGACGAGTACGACTCCATCAACCCCGTTTACTTGAACGCTTCCGCTTAGCGATCTACAAGGGTATGTAGATGCACTCTCCTTTCTACTCATTGCTGGTCTCTCCATAGATAGATCTTGGTGATACGTAGGAAAATTTTGAATTTCTGCTACGTTCCCCAACAGCTTCTTCAATCACTACTCTTCTTGCACCAGCCGCCCAAACCAGTGCCGGGGAGACCGCCTGCTCCTGCCTCCAGTGGCCGGTTGTGCTACCGCTGAGGCCTCATCGGCCCCTACTACTCCCACCACTAGCCAGGCCCTACGGCGACGGCAGCCTCACACCGCAGCCGAACCAGTGAACCCTCGTACTCCTCTCCGCGTGGGCATCCACTGTCGCGTCTTCCCCGGCTCCGCGTCGTCCCCTTCCTAGGCCTCGCCCAGCGCGGCGTGGTTAACGTGGTCAACGACATTCCATCGGAAGAGTACTGTACATGGAGAGGCTGACAGCTGGGTCCACGGCCACAGCCCAGTTTTTTTGTGATTTGCCAAGTAAGTCGCTTTGTCAGGCCTATTGGGCTGCAAATCTTTCAAGACGAGGTGGAGAGCTTTCATTCGGCTGGCCGAGAAAATGGCCCATCAATAATGAGAAATGGGTTGTACATTTTTAAAACACATCAAACCGGCAATTAGTTTCAAATATCTTTTTTTTTCATTTCGAGATTTGAAATTACATTAATTTTTATGCGTGGAGAATTTGTTGGATTTTATATTGATATACATTTATTTTTAAAATCAGTTTGAATGTGAGTCGAAATTTCGGAATTAAAAACAGTTCGGACCGCACCGAAATATGTAAAATTTCGTATAATTTTTTAACCGTGGCCACAATATGGGTTGTAATGCTAACAAAAAGAATATGGGCTCAAAAAAACCTTAATAATTAGAAAATGGGCTGTAAATTTTTAGAAATAATGGCAGATGGGTTGTATGCTGTTTCCCACAGATTTGAGGCTTTCCTAAAAAAAGGTTGACGCACAAGCAGTGATTGTTGTATGGCCATCCAACAACTGTCGTGCTTCTTCAGTCTCTGCTCTTCCTGCTCGAGCCGCTCAAACAGGCGCCGGCAAGACTGCCTGCTCCCTCCTCAAGGCGGCCGGCTCTGCTGCCGCGCAGGCCTCACCGCCCCACTATACTCCCATCGCTGGCCTTGCCATCCCTCTACTCACCCACACCTGCTGTTATTCTCCGGCGACGGCGAGGTCTCATACAGTCGAAATGTTCCCCCCGCTATCAGCTCGGACCCACCGGAAGTGCCTCCTTATTACGCACAAAAAAAAGAATACTCCACCGGCTAGCTGGGACACACCATGGTGGGATGCTGACTTGTGGGCCTACTAAGTTGACGGGGACGAAGGGTTTGTCAACTTAGTCAATATGAATGATTCTAGCTCTAGTGACGATACGATGTCCATCCAACTGCCGTAGTGCTTCTTCATCCTCTAGTCTTCTTGCTCCAGCCGCCCAAAGCAGCGCCGGTCATGCCGCCTGCTCCTGCCTCCCGTGGCCGGCTGTGCTGTAGCGGAGGCCTCACCGCCCCCTACTATTCCCACCGCTGGCCAGGCCCTGCGGCGACGGCGGCCTCACACCGCAGCCGAACGAGTGAACCCTCATACTCCTCTCCGTGTTGGCATCCACTGCCGCGTCTTCACCGGCTCCACGTCGTCCCCTTCCTAGGCCTCGCCATCGTCCACCGCCCTGGTGCTCTCGGCGCGGCGTGGTCAACATGGTCAAGGAACGACTTCCATCGGACATGGACTGTATGTGGAGAGGCTGAGCACTGGGTCCACGGCGGCAGCAAGGAAGTGCCTCCTTATTACACAGAAAATAATGATTCCTCCACCTGACAGCAGGGACCCACTGGACGGGCCACCGTATTTCATGAAAAAAACGTTTCCCCCTGAGTGCTGGGACCCACCAGCTACACCTTCGCACGCAAGGAAGTGCGTCCGGGCAAAAAAAAAGATCCACCCCCTGACTGCTGGGACCCACCAGCTACATCTTCGCAGGCAAGGAAGTGCCTGACAGTCGGGACCCAGCTGGGCGAAGCATACATAGCGTTGTCATTCTGGTCGCGAACGTGTACATACATATATATATACTGGTGGATGTAGAGGCGCACATGTGTCGTAGTGGAGGCGGCCAGGGTGCAAGAAAGAAAATATGGCCACGTATGTGTACATATGGGCAGGGTCTCGAACGCCTACTCGCGCATACGTACGACGAGGGCTCGTGTACATGGCTGGGTCGGAATAGAGAAATAGCATCGTCGTCGTGTTCATGGGTCGGAACGGAATGTGTGGTCGTGTTCGTCGGAAGGGCTTGGAAGGAAGACGCGACGGAAACGAGGACTGGCGTACGGCACAACGGAGGAAACGGACCTCCTACGGTCGAAACGGGGGTCCTGTTGATCGGGAGGGGTGTGGCGTACCGCAAAACGGAGGAAACGGACCTCCTATGGTCGAAACAGGGGTCCTGTTGATCGGGAGGGGTGTGGCGTACCGTAAAACGAAGGAAACGGACCTCCTACGGTCGAAACAGGGGTCCTGTTGATCGGGAGGGGTGTGGCGTACCGCAAAACGGGACTCCACGGGATACTGTTCATCTCCACCGTCGACCCCCTCCATCCTCCACGAGCTACTGTTCATCCACCGTCGACCTCCTCCAGCCTACACGGGCTCCTGTTCATCCAGCCTCCACCGCGCGCTACTCCACCGGCTATTGTTCAACCAATCCTCCACCGTCTACTGTTCATCCAGCCCTCCACACCACGAGGTCCTATTCAACCACCCCTCCACGGGCACCCCTCCACCGTCTACTGTTCATCCTGCCCTCCACACCATGGGGTCCTGTTCATCCACCCCTCCATGGGCACCCCTCCACCGTCTACTGTTCATCCAGCCCTCCACCACACCACGGGGTCCTGTTCATCCAGAGGCAACGCCACCGCTCACTATTCATCCAAACCCCCTCCACAATGCTCGCTGTTCAACCCATCAATCGGCTTCAGTTAGCAGCAGTAGCCCAGGAATTGCTCGATCGGGTTCAGTTAACAGTCATCGATTGATCGCTCAGATTCAGTAACGCATAGCCTGCAGTGCAATCGCTCGGGTTCAGTTAGAGCCCAACGCCTCGCTCGGGTTTAGTTAGAGCCAACGCCTCGCACACACGCGCGTACGTGTACGAGAGAAACGCGCATCGCTCGGTCCCCGACCTCCCACCGTAACCGGGAACTCCCTGAAATTTTCCTTGCCCTCGCTTCTACCACGGTTTTTTCCATCATGGACGGCCCAAAGAATGTCATGCAGCTATGTCTCTGGCCTACCCAGGGCGAAAAGCCCATTTACTGTCATGATTTTTTGTCATAGAAGTAGGAGCCCACCACATCTACGATGATACCGGGTTTTGTCACAATTATCGTCATAGAAATGTCATATGTATGACAGAAAAAAATTTCATTCGACCCAAAATGTCACGGATGTGTCTTTTTTTGTAATGTCTGCCAGCCCTCGCCTTAATGTTGTACTTGCGGGTCTGGCATTACACGATGGGGCGAAGAGGTCCAGAGGTAGGGCAGGGGAAGATCTTCACAGCCTTCTTCTGGCGAGCTGTATACAATAAAGAACAGAATGTAAGATGGCAGTGAGTTAAGCAAGCACCACAATAACAGAAACATGTTGTCAGTGGATTGGATGGTAACACGAGCATCTACTCTGCCTTGCTGTAACAAACATGTACTTAACTCCTTACATACACCAGTGCAAGTGTTGTTCACATGTTACTACTTGATTTGACTTTATACATATAAATAGACATGACAATAAACTTGCATAAAGAGACGTCTAGTCTAGCATCAGACTAACTTACTGGTATAAAGAGACATGGATATTAATGGTAGTTGTACTAGAAAAAACTAACTGAACCAATGTCTCCACAGATATCATAGCATCAGAACATATGAAGCTGACAACATAATATAACCAGAAGTCTATTGTATCTACTCATATTTTGTGTGTCGAAGTAGGTACCGATGAAAGTCACAATATCCTGTAATTGTTGAATGACTCGTGGTACAGCTTGCATTGCTAAAATGCAATGAACCAGGATTTTAGTTACACATATGGTTAAAGAAACAAACTTAAGGAATTAGTTAGAATCTCATATCACCCATGATCCACTAATTTAGACTGGTATTATATCTTACAAATCGAACTGAAGAAGTTCATTTCCAGCCCAACTATAATGTTAGGGCAACTACTGTAAGATGCAGGGAGCAGAGAGCTCACCATGGCTATCATGTAGCCAACATGGAAGAGGTAGGATGTCCGTCCAAGAAGATTCAGCAGCACTAGCGGACGGGTCCAGGGTTGTCGCCGCTCCTCCTTGTGGATGCCGAGGTCGGAGACGCCGGATCCGTGCGGAGATCCACATCCCATCCTTGCATTTAAAACTTTATATGTGAGAATTCAATTTTATAAATCTCTGAACTCTAGTCTAGTCTGATTCCTGAAAGGGGATATGAATCAGCAAAAGAAAATCAAGGGGCCCTGCGCTCCCACTTTCTAGAACAAAAGGAGTACATGAGCAATAGCTATATAGGACTGATGATGCATGTACTACCTCGGAAAGAGCCACCAACAGTATGATCTCTGGAAGACCGATCTCGATGCATTTCGCAACCTACATAACACATTCATACTATTATGTTATTGTTATCCCCACTGGTGTCAACTACAGCCAGACAGAATTCAGAAGTGCAGAGATTTGTCATTTGTGTATGCACAAGCAGAAGGCTTACACTTGGGAATCCAAGCTCGTAGAGCCTGAATCCGAGGGCGAGGAGGTTGAGGGTGCGTTGGTGCTGATGCCGGAGCTTCCAATGGGAACTCCAGCAGCACCGCCATTGGTGGCTGGTCTCCGGCGCTTCCTTTCTTCCCGGGCAAGAAGACAGACGAGACGAGGAGGAGCAGCGGTAGTTTGATGTGTGTTGGGTGGCCTGGCTGTAGCGTGGCGGCCGTCGCAGCGGACCTGGACATGGACCAATGAAGAATGAACACTGGTAATGAGATACAGGAAATGCAAACGGTTCAGAATAACACCAAGACATTTAGTACTACAAGAAATTTCTAAAACTTCAGTTGCAGTAGTTGTCAAACAAAATATCAGTCCAGTAACCTCCAAATTAAATTGTGATGGTTTACTGCAATGTGTTTTAGTGATATTGTCATACTACAGTATAACCGAAGCATCCAGGAGAAGGGGCAGCTGCCGGTGCTCAAGGAGCAGGCACAGGAAGACAAGGAAGGCCCTGCTACAGAGTACCCACCAAGGATGTGGAAGAAGAAATCAAAAGAAACGGCAACCAATGCTTGCTCTGTTACTGTCCTGTAAACTAGCTAGTGTGTGTTGACTATCTAATCTAAGACTTGTAACACCAAGTTGTTTCGTTCATAGGTGTGTTCGTGTTGTCTGCGATGCTTTCAAAACAATAGCCGGGCAGAGTTAGGCTTAGGTATTAAAATGACAAAAATAACAGCCTAAAGAAGCAGATAATGCTTTCAAACAACCAGCAAGAAATGGAGCACTGAGCCCGGAGACGGCTTTGTCATGTACAGAAAATTAAAGTAGAATGCCCAACAAACAGTGTAAGCAAGACTAGCATATAGTAGTTTGTCTTGTACAGAATGCTTCTAATCTAAGTACGCATGAGAGTGTACGTGTTGGAGCTTTATCATGCATGTAAATATTTTATGAGGAGAACTACATACATGTATGTGACCATTAGAATGCATACGTGTGTAGGGGAGTTCCCTCGGCATCGCTGCTATTGTGTTTGACCAATGAAACAAAAGGTTGCAGGGAGCTTTTAAGTAAAATCTGTTTGTGCACATAGCAAATCTGAGAATGTGAGCTCGGTATGCTCTCTACTAGTCTCTAGTGAGGTGATCCTGCTAATCTATCTACGCAACAGTGGTGAGAGATGGAGATTCCTGTAGAAGGAGCTAGCAAGCATACCACATGCAAGGCCAAGACGGATAGCACTGACAACAGGTATGCATCAATGGGCATGCAGCACAAGACGTATATCTGTAAGTCTTTCTTCAGAAGAGGCATTGTAACTAGACTACTGCTTACTACTTAACCCAAAACTGAATCATGAAACAAATCTTACCATCCATGCACTGTAGGCAGGATCTTTCTCAGGCAGGTACGGTGGTCGTCTCTCTTTTAGCTGGATTTTCTTAGCCCACAGTCTTGTCGCTGAAGAACCACTTCTTCAGCGTTTTCTTGTCACTGCAGGTGTGGAGGAAGTTCATCAATAGAAGGGTACCTAAGAATAAGAATCATGCATCGGGAATCAATCAAATCAACACCAAATCGAATCAGGAAGAAGAATCGAGTGCTCACATAGGTAGTGGCAGTGCTCCTGCACCTCCTCGATGTCGTACTGCGTCAGCATCACCCAGGTTCATCTTGTTGGCGTGGAACTGGTCTTCTCATGCCCAGGTGATGCTTGTACATGGTTTGCACTGGAGGCAGGCCTGGATGCCCTCCTTCCACCGTGGTGAAGACCTCGCCTTCCACCATGGTGCCCAGGCCGTTGGCGCAGATCTGGCACACGCCCCCGGCCCCATGCCTCAGGGACTTCTGCACACAGCAGCGAGATGCGGTCAAAACTGAGGCTCTGCTATGGGGAGGAAGTGGACGGGATCGAGAGGAGCACGATGAGATCGGGAGGAAGGGAACATCCTTATGATCTGGCTAGCGAGCCCACTGCCGCTGTCGCGGGTCGTCGACGGTGGGGATGACAGCGGATCGAGGTGGGAGGGAGGGGGAGGGGGTGGATCTGGCCGCCGCCATGCCCATGGCCATGCCATGCGTCTAGGTCTAGGTCATGAGCGAGGAGGGACCGCGGATCCGACCGCGGCCGTCGGAGAGAAGGGGAGGGGAGGGGTTGCCGGCGGTCGGGGTTGGTGGAGAGGATGGAGGACGGCGCCAGCGGCGGTTGGATGATTGGGGATCGAGAGGGTTGGGGTGGCGGCTGTGGGACGAGAGGGGGAGAGTGGATCAGGGGAGAGGAGTGGATCGGGGAAGCTAGGGTTTGGGTGAGAGGGTGAGGCGGTGAGGTGGTTAATGCATGATCCGCGTGATATGCCTATGGACCAGTCAGAACGCACCAAACAGTTTGACGATTTTTTGACCATATAAATTGGTCGTGATTGATTACATACAAAATTTTCATTCCATTTTTCAATGCTTAAAATGAGTTTTTTTGTGAAAGACCTTTCTAATATTTGTTCAAATGATGTCATATTTTGCACAAGTTTCATCTTAGATTGGCAAACAACATTGTCAAAGGGAGTTTTCACTTTCTTTGGACGAAAAAACCATTTTCCATTTTTTGAGTGCCCCAAAGGAGGTTTTTTTTGTGAAGGACCTCCCAAATAATTGTTGCAAAATTGGACCAAATCATTTTTCTAAAATACTAGGTCATATTTAATGCAAAATTGACCAAATGGTTGGGTGTAAAAAGTTTTGATCCACCTGTGGTGAAAAAGACAAATTTCCGTCGATTTAGTTGGAAGCGGGTCAAATTTGAACTGCAGCTGCATCATATTTTGCTCTTTATTTTTTCCAAAAATCATTTCTAGGTACATAAGTATCTATTTAATCAGATAAACATCAAAAGTTTTTCAAGATCCAAACACTAGCTAGGAACGCTCATTCCCGCCGCTCTGACTGCATCTTGAAACGGGCATAAAAAATTCAAAAAAAATCAACAAATTGGGAAACCTTTGCATTGTGTCATTATATGTGGCCAAGTTCCTAGGAAAAATAACAAACTTGTAATACGGCAATTATTTTAAAAAAGTGTTCTCAGAAATGAGCTATCATGCGAGAATATTCATGGCTTTCAAGCCAAATGATCAATCTTATGGCCACATTCATGGCATAGTTTTTTAAAATGATCTCATATTGTGCACAAGGGTGCATATTGGAATTCCAAACAATGTTGGCTAAGGGACTTCTTATTTTCTTTGCACGGAAAATTCATTTTCCATTTTCCGAGTGCCCGAATTGAGTTCTTTTTGTGAAGGACCTACCATATATATGTTGCAAAATTGGACCAAATCAATATTCTAAAATACTAGGCCATATCTAATTCACAATTGACCAAATGGTTGGGTGTCAAAAGCCTTGATCCACCTATGGTGAAAAAGACAAATTCCCGCCGATTTAGTAGGAAGCGGGTCAAATTTGAACTGCAGCTGCCTCATAGTTTGCTCTTTATTTTTCTAAAAAATCATTTCTAGATACATAAGTATCTATTTAATCATAGAAACATCAAAAGTTTTCCAAGATTCAACCACTAGCTAGGAACGGTCAAACCCGACGTTTTAATCGCATTTCGAAACGGGCATAGAAAATTAAAAAAATTAAAAAATTGGGAAACCTTCGCATTGTGTCATTATATGTGACCAAGTTTGCAGGAAAAATAATAAACTTGTAATACGGCAAGTATTTTGAAAAAGTTTTCTCAGAAATGAGCTATCATGCGTGAAGATTCATGGCTTTCAAGCCAAATGATCAATCTTATGGCCACATTCATGGCATAGTTTGTTCAAATGATCTCATATTATGCACAAGGGTGCATCTTGGAATTCCAAACAATGTTGCCTAAGGGAGTTTTATTTTCTTTGCACCAGAAAATTCATTTTCCATTTTCCGAGTGACCAAATTGAGTTCTTTTTATGAAGGACCTACCATATATTTGTTGCAAAATTGGACCAAATAAAATTATTAAAATACTAGGCCATATTTGATTCACAATTGACCAAATGGTTGGGGTGTCAAAAGCCTTGATTCACCTGTGGTGAAAAAGACAAGTTCTCGCCGATTCAGCAGGAAGCGGGTCAAATTTGAGCTACAGCTGCCTCATAGTTTGATCTTTATTTTTTTCAAAAAATCATTTCTAGATACATAAGTATCTATTTAATCAGAGAAACATCAAAAGTTTTCCAAGATTCAACCACTAGCTAGGAACGGTCAAACCCGCCGTTTCCATCGCATTTCGAAATGGGCATAAAAAATTCAAAAAAATCAAAAATTGGGAAACCTTTGCATTGTGTCATTATATGTGACCAAGTTTCCAAGAAAAATAATAAACTTGTAATACGAAAATTATTTTAAAAAAGTGTTCTCAGAAATGAGCTATCATGCGTGAAAATTCATGGCTTTCAAGCCAAATGATCAATCTTATGGCCACATTCATGGCATAGTTTGTTCAAATGATCTCATATTATGCACAAGGGTGCATCTTGTAATTCCAAACAATGTTGCCTAAGGGAGTTTTTATTTTCTTTGCACGGTAAATTCATTTTCCATTCTCCGAGTGCCCGAATTGAGTTCTTTTTGTGAAGAACCTACCATATATTTGTTGCAAAATTGGACCAAATAAAATTTCTAAAATACCAGGCCATATTTGATTCACAATTGACCAAATGGTTGGGTGTCAAAAGCCTTGATTCACCTCTGGTGAAAAAGACAAATTCCCGTTGATTCAGTAGGAAGCGGGTCAAATTTGAACTGCAGCTGCCTCATAGTTTGCTCTTTATTTTTTCAAAAAATCATTTCTAGATACATAAGTATCTATTTAATCAGAGAAACATTAAAAGTTTTCCAAGATTCAACCACTAGCTAGGACCAGTCAAACCCGTCGTTTTCATCGCATTTCGAAACAGGCATAAAAATTAAAAATAAAATCAAAAAATTGGAAACCCTCGCATTGTGTCATTATATGTGACCAAGTTTCCAGGAAAAATAATAAACTTGTAATACGGCAATTACTTTAAAAAAGGGTTCTCAGAAATGAGCTATCATGTGTGAAGATTCATGGCTTTCA